TTCACTTCCATTGGTGAGCGAGTGATGCAATGCTACATTTCTCCAAATCTGATGAAGACACAAACTCATCTCAGATGGCCTGAGGGTGAGCGCATTTTCAGCAAATGCTCATTTTTAAGTGAACTTTTCCTTTAAGAAGCAAGAGTCAAATTATAAGCGCAACCAAAACGAATCAGAACTGAATCCTCCGCGTAAGAATCAAACGCAAACCGTGCGCAACATCACAAATAAGCAGCAAGCGGAGGTAGTTCAACACAAGAATGAAGAAGTGAATCAAACACGTTTACACTGAGGTCTGAGATTCACTCGTCTGTTTTTAAAGCAGCTTTCATAACCTGAGGCACCTCCACTGTTAATGTCATCTTATTTTTGTATCTTTAAGTGGAAAACAAATATATGCTGTGAGGTCTAAAATCTGAGATCACTATTGTTTTCAATTAAACCTGGAAAGATTTAGGATTTCTATGTAAAAGGAAGATTACTATTTCCAGGTGAAACTACACAACGAAATTAGCAAAACCCATTTGTACAAAGTCAGAATTTCTCATATTAAACTAGAAAAGAATGAAAAAACTGGAAACACTTTACAATTATATATATATATATATTTAAAGCATTTATTAATCCTTGTTAATGCTACACTTTAAAAAAAAAAATCTAATTTGTGAATAAAACAAAGATTGTTGGAGTACGAAATTGTAATTTTATTGGATTTTATTCAACTTAAAAGTTTTATGTTTAATTCAGTGTTACTTGTCATTTCTTTGTAATCATTTGTGAAATTTACTAGAAATGTTTATTTATTTTAGAATTTAGAAATTGTTAAAATACATTTAAGCTATGAAATTACTCGCCGTAAATTAATAAAAACTAAAACTGAACTAAATCTGAAATAAAAATAAATTAAAACTAAACAGTAATATTTAAAAAATTCTAAAATTGACAAAATAAAACAACAAAATTAATAAGAATTAAAAATGAAAAAAAAATGTAAAAAGGCTACAAGAAAATACTATTTCAGTCTTTCTACTTAAAAAAAATAAAATGTAATTCAATGTTACTAGCCATTTTTTGTAGTTATTTGTGACGTTTACTAGCAATTTCTGAATTGTTTCTAAGTATTTTTTTCATTGTAATGATTAGAAATGCAGTTATTTATTGTTTGTCAGAAAAATTAATTAAACCTAAATAGTAATATTTCCAAAAAAAAATATATATATATATAATAATAAAATTGACAAAAGTAAATAACAAAATTACAAATAAATTAAAATTTAAAAAGCTACAAGAAAATATAATTTCAGTAATTATTTGTGAAATTTACTAGCAATCTCTGAATTGTTTTTTAACGTAGTTTGTTCAGTTTGTTCATGTTAGTTCAAAGTTCATTAACTAATGCTATACATTTAATTAAAAAAAACAAAAGTAAATGTTGAGAATAACATTAATTAAGATTAATAAATGCTGTTGAATTATTGTTCATTGCTAATTCATGTTAACTAATTTAGTTACCAAATGAAACCTTGATGTAAAGTGTCACCCATTTTCATCAGACGCTTGGACTCTTTGGATTATATACAGTACGTCAAACGCGTTCAGTGTTCATATCAAAACAATAAAAGAGATTGAGATTGAGGACGAGCGTCATCAGAAATATGAGGTAGAGAGACAGCAGAACAAAACTCCGTCTCTGTCACGATCAAAAACAAACAGAAAACGCTCGTCCATCTGTGTAAAGCACATCAGGCGTTCTTCAAAACATTCATCGGCGCTGATAGGAAACACATTCATCTGAAACGGCTCATGAACGGGTTTAAACCGCTCCAGGACCTTCATCTTTGGGACGTTGTGAGTTTCACGGGGCAGGTCCGGCCGGGAAGGGAAAGTTATTAGGAAAGGCTGTGCAAGTTTGTCAAAGCCAACAGAGCGTCTGTGACTTCGTAAAGCTATTCAAACTCTCAAAGCGTTGAGATTTGAGACCGCTGATCTGATCCTGAGGAAAGGCTGCAAACTTTATTTATAGGCCCTGGAATCACAGGCCACGCCCACTTGCATGACTGACAGGCCACGCCCACTTGCATGACTGACAGGCCACGCCCACTTGCATGACTGACAGGCCAGTTAAAGCGCTACGAACTGAAGGCGGGAGGGAGATTTCGGTGGCGTTTCGCCTGGAATTTGCGCGCAGACGCTCGCGATGCATTCGTTCGAAAACGACTCGCCATCGTTGGATTTGTACGAGGATCTGTTAGGATCGGCGGTTTCCGTCTCATCGTGAGAGAAGTTTCCCGAGTCTGCGCCGCTGGTCTGCGAACTCTCCGACTCCCCGAGAGGACAATAGGCTCGCGACTGCTCGTCTTCGTAACGCAGAACCGTCTTCCCCACTTCGTAAAGACCAGCGGGATCCTCGATCTGTCCAATACAAACATCAGTATATATTTTGAAAATATTTCTATTTATATTCATATAATTGATATTATATATTAATATTTTAAATGTATAAACTTAACATGTTTTTCTTAAATATATACATGCATGTGTTTGTATTTATATATACATAAGTACCCACACA